GAAAGATGATAGATATGTATGTGTATATAACAGACAGGCACAAAGTTGCCCTCATCCAAGATGGCTAGAAGGACCAGTTGCCCTGACCCAACATGGCCTCTGCTCTTGCCCAAAAGCAGCTGCTCCCCTTCAGGCCGATGTTCCCCTTCCTAGAAATGGGGGCCTAATGCTTCCCTCGCTTTCTGCTCCCTTCCCTGAGTACTTCCACCATTCCATGCTTTGGACGCAGCCCCGCTTCCCTGGCGGAACAGCAGGCTTAAGGGCACCAGGAATATCTACCCTTTACGAACTCCAGAGGGGAGCTTCTCAATTTCTTCCTCAGCCTAAACATCATCATAATAATACTGCCATATCACAGTAGATTGTAGGTTGTAGGTGGTGAATTGGAAAGGAAGAAGAAGGGAGACAACAAGAAAAATCCACACAATGGAGAAACCATATAAATATTCAGAGTGTGGAGAGAACTTTAGTCGGAGCTCCCAGTCCACTTCCCATCAAGGAAAGCTCTTCGTTCAGAAGGAGAGCCTCACTTCACATGAAAGAACTAACGGGGGGAAGAAATTAGTGCTTGAAACGTGAGGAAAGCTTCCTTCGCAGCTCCATTCTCAATTCCCATGAGATACTTCATACAGGGGAGTGTTTGGAAAAAGCTTCACCTGGAAAACCTGTCTCAGTTTCCATTCAATAAATCACAGCAAGGATAATCACAGAATTTTAGAAAATGGTATAAGGCATAAGGTATAACTGGAATCAGGAAACTTGATGAGGAATTAAGGGGAAAGACAGTGTTGACCCAGAGTAGTTACAAAATGTATGTTCTCTCCCCAAGTGCCACAGACCCTCCTCCAAAGAGAGCTTCTCTGAAGAAAGCACAAGCAAAAATTACTCCATTTTACGTGAATAAGAAAACGAGGAGGTGGCTAAGAAACAGCAGGAGCCAGATCCTATTACTGACCTTATAGGATCTCTCAGCAGCTCTAAGGATGAGCAGAAAGAGGTTTGGGGCCCAGGCAGCTCAACTGCTAAGTCATCTCTGGCACTGAGACCAGGAGCTCAAGCGACTCAAGGCCAAATTCAGGCTAAACAAGTAGAGGAACTAATCTGAAAGCAAAATTCAAAATTAAAGCAAGTATAAAAGACTGCTACTCCCAAACTTCTGGGACAAAAGAGGGATTATCAGTCTTTGGGTGGCTTGTAGTACTAACAGAGGACATGGAACACTTAAAATCCTTTTTGGCTGACTGTAATAAAATTCTTACCATCCTGATAGGAACTTGTAAAACCTTCTGAATAAAATCTAGCAGAGTCTGTAGCACCAGATAATACAACAATTTCTCTTTCCATACCATTAAAAATAAATCAATAAAGGAGGTTTGATTCGTCCACATGGCAAAAGGACGTCTATAAGTACAAAGAAGAGCAAAAATGTTAAAAAAAATTAAAATAGTGCAATATTAAAAAGTTGACATAAAATACTTTTTAACTTACTTAAGAGTAGCTCATGCTCTGGGTCCAGACAGAACACTAATTCGTTCTCAGATGTCCGTTCTTAACCTGAAACTGTTCTTAACCTGAACCGCCACTTTAGCTAATGGGGCCTCCCGCTGCCGCCGCACCACCAGAGCACGATTTCTGTTCTCATCCTGAAGCAAAGTTCTTAAAACGAGGTACTATTTCTAGGTTAGCGGAGTCATAGAATCATAGAATCATAGAGTTGGAAGAGACCACAAGGGCCATCGAGTCCAACCCCTGCCAAGCAGGAAACACCATCAGAGCACTCCTGACATATGGTTGTCAAGCCTCTGCTTAAAGACCTCCAAAGAAGGAGACTCCACCACACTCCTTGGCAGCAAATTCCACTGTGGAACAGCTCTTACTGTCAGGAAGTGCTTCCTAATGTTGAGGTGGAATCTTCTTTCTTGTAAGTAAGAAGTCTGTAAGCTGAAGCGTATGTAACTGAAGCGTATGTAACCTGAGGTACCACTGTACTGGAATTTGCACACCAGATCCTTATATCAATATGAAACGATATGCAAGGTTATCAAATGCTCTGATGTCCTGTCAGAAGCCAAAACAAAACCAACTAGGAAGAGGGTTTTCATAAACAAGAATTGGAAATGGGTGCTGTCTCAAAATACAGTGGTGCCTCGCAAGATGAAATTAATTCGTTCCGCGAGTTTTTTCGTCTAGCGAATTTTTCGTCTTGCGAAGCACGAAATCCCATAGGAATGCATTGAAATTCAATTAATGCGTTCCTATGGTCAGAAGAAGTCCAATCAAAGCCAAATTCGGTACAACAAGAGTTTATTAACTGCTCTTTAAAGTCACACATACTTTAAAGAGCATATCAAAAATTGAAGGAACAATAAATTAAGTTTCTAAACATGACAGGAAAAACATTTAAAAATCAAAAAGGGTACATTACATTTTCTAAGACTCTGGGGACCACTCGAAGAAGGTTCCTCTTCCACTCTTTGCTTCTTGCTGAGGAACCTGTCCATGGTCTGCTGCTTCATCCGCCGTTTCAGCAGCTCCCTGAGAGGCGACATGACCGTCGTATCAAAAACGTTCGCTTGGTCATGTGCCACGTGCTTGTCAGGGTGGAGCCGCTTTGCAAAAGCCTGCACCTCATTCCACTTCTGGCAAATGTCCCTCAGTTCTTTGGAGGACAGCCGTTCCTCACTTGCTTCCTCCTCTTCCAGCGAGGCCTGCTCCTGCGCAACCTCTGACTGCAGTTCAACCAGCTCCTGGGTGGTCAGCTCGTGGTCGTGCTCCTCCACCAGCTCGCAAACGTCCTCCTCTGTGACCTCCAGGCCCATGGTCCTCCCCAAGGCAACAATGTCCTGCACCACTGTCGACTCTGGTGCATCAGAGTCACTTGGTGCCACACAGTCCGGCCACAGGCTGCGCCAGCGCAATTCAAATTCCTCTGGCTGATCCCCTTCCAGGCCGTGGTGATCATCTTCAAGCAGGTGACGATGTCGAAGTGGTCCTTCCAGAATTCCCGCAGGGTGATGGTGGTGCAATCAGTCACCTCGAAGCATCGCCTGAAAAGCTCCTTGGTGTAGAGTTTCTTGAAATTGGCGATGACCTGCTGATCCATCGGCTGGAGCAGTGGCGTGGTGTTAGGCGGCAGGAACATGATGTTGATGAAGCTGAACTCCTCCAACAAGTCCACCTCAAGGCCTTTAGGATGAGCAGGAGCATTGTCCATCAGAAGCAAAGCCTTCAGCGGCAGGTCGTTGTCCAGCAGGTACTGTTTGACAGCAGGGCCAAAGGCAAGATTGACCCAGTCCACAAACAGCACATGTGTGACCCAAGCCTTGCTGTTGGATCGCCACATGACACTCAGCCGCTCCTTGTCGACCTTGTGTTTCTTGAAGGCCTGTGGGTTCTCCGAGTGGTACACCAGCAGGGCTTGATCTTCAGGTCGCCGCTTGCATTGGCACAGAATAGCAGGGTCAGACGGTCCTTCATGGGCATGTGGCCAGGCAACTTGGCCTCCTCCTGTGTGATGAAAGTCCTTTTGGGCATCCTCTTCCAAAACAGCCCGGTCTCGTCGCAGTTGAAGACCTGCTGTGGAACGTAGCCCTCCGTCTTCACAACCTCCAGGAACTCCAAGGCAAAGTCTTCAGCCGCAGGAACATCAGAACTGGCAGCCTCTCCATGCCTGACCACGCTGTGGATTCCGGATCTTGCCTTGAACCGGTCAAACCAGCCTCTGCTTGCCTTGAAGACTTCTGGCTCGGCCGAGGTTCCTGGCTGTTCCCGGATGAGGTCTGCGTGCAAGGCCTTGGCCTTCTCACAAATCACGGCCTCAGTCACTGTGTCCCCTGCACGCTGCTTCTCTTCTATCCAGATGAGGAGCAACTTCTCGACCTCCTCCAGAACAGCTGGGCGGTTCTTCACGATCCTGGTGACTCCCTTGGCTGCATCAGTCGCAAGGATCTTCTCCCTCATCTTCAGGATGGTCCCGATGGTCGATGGGTTCCTGCCGTACTCCCTGGCGAGGTCCGTCACACGCATTCCACCGTCGTGCTTCCGGATGATCTCCTTCTTCATCTCCAGCGTCACCTTCTCCTTCTTCCTCTCGCCGGCCTCCGCAGCAGCAGCAGTCTTCTTGGGTCCCATGGCAGCACAGCTGTTACCTTTGTAAAACTCAGAAAAGAAAAAAAAATCAGCAATTCAAACCCACAACCCAGTCCTTGAATTCCAAACACCCAACCCAAAATCCAAAACCCAAAAAAGTTTTAAAAGTTTAATTTACGAAATGGCTGCAAATCACCAAAGTCTTCACACTCCTCAACTGGCTGCACACGAAAGTTTGGGAAAGCTTTAAAAATCACCAAAGTCTTCAAAAACCTCAACTGTTCCCCCAGCCCCTCCCCAACTGTTGCAAACCCCTCCCCAACTGTTGCAAACCCCTCCTCAACTGTTCCCCAGCCACCCAGCACACAGAAATTCAAAACCCAGAAACTTTTTCAAAAAAAACCAACATGGCCCAATGGTTACAGAAAACCATAAAAATTCAAAAAAAACCACACAAGCTCCCAGATTCCTGCAAACCCCTCCTCAACTGTTCCCCCAGCCACCCAGCACACAGAAATTCAAAACCCAGAAACTTTTTCAAAAAAAACCAACATGGCCCAATGGTTACAGAAAACCATAAAAATTCAAAAAAAGCACACAAGCTCCCAGATTCCTGCAAACCCCTCCTCAACTGTTCCCCCAGCCACCCAGCACACAGAAATTCAAAACCCAGAAACTTTTTCAAAAAAAAACAACATGGCCCAATGGTTACAGAAAACCATAAAAATTCAAAAAAAACCACACAAGCTCCCAGATTCCTGCAAACCCCTCCTCAACTGTTCCCCCAGCCACCCAGCACACAGAAATTCAAAACCCAGAAACTTTTTTCAAAAAAAAAACAACATGGCCCAATGGTTACAGAAAACCATAAAAATTCAAAAAAAAGCACACAAGCTCCCAGATTCCTGCAAACCCCTCCTCAACTGTTCCCCCATCCACCCAGCACACAGAAATTTAAAACCCAGAAACTTTTTTCAAAAAAAAACAACATGGCCCAATGGTCACAAAAAATCATAAAAATTCAAAAAAAAGCACACAAGCTCCCAGATTCTTGCAAACACCTCCCCAGCTGTTCCCCCAGCCACCCAGCACACAGAAATTTAAAACCCAGAATTTTTTTTCAAAAAAAAACAACATGGCCCAATGGTTACAGAAAACCATAAAAATTCAAAAAAAAGCACACAAGCTCCCAGATTCCTGCAAACACCTCCCCAGCTGTTCCCCCAGCCACCCAGCACACAGAAATTCAAAACCCATAAATTTTTTTCAAAAAACAACAACATGGCCCAATGGTCACAGAAAACCATAAAAATTCAAAAAAAAGCACACAAGCTCCCAGATTCTTGCAAACACCTCCCCAGCTGTTCCCCCATCCACCCAGCACACAGAAATTTAAAACCCAGAAATTTTTTCAAAAAAAAACAACAGGGCCCATTGGTAACAAATATCATAAAAATTCAAAAAAAAGCACACAAGCTCCCAGATTCTTGCAAACACCTCCCCAGCTGTTCCCCCATCCACCCAGCACACAGAAATTCAAAAATTCAAAGCCAGATTTTTTTAAAAAAAAAAAAATTAACATGGCCCAATGGTCACAGAAAATCATAAAAATGCAGAAAAAAACCACACAAGCTCCCAGATTCTTGCAAACCTCTCCCCAACACCAAGTCCTTGAATTCTAAACACCCCAACCCAAAATCCCAAAACCCAAAAAAGTTTTAAAAGTTCAACTTACCAAACAGCTGTAGAAGAAGTTTTGGAAAAGCTTCAAAAATCCAGCAAACTCTTTAAAAAGCTCAGAAAGGCCACCACACCGCGTGCAATGTGTTGCTCCTCGAGGTCAAGTCGCAACTGCACCTCTTCAAGCAATGCACCCTGGGTTTTAACGGTTTTACGAAAAGAAACAAACTTGCAAGACGTTTTCGTCTTGCGAAGCAAGCCCATAGGGACATTCGTCTTGCGAAGCAACTCGAAAACGAAAAAACCTTTCGTCTTGCGAGTTTTTCGTCTTGCGAGGCGTTCGTCTTGCGGGGCACCACTGTAAGCTACTTCTCTGGAGATAGATTGAAACTGCAGAGTTTTGAAAAACTAAAAAACAAAGTGCGAGACTGGCTTCATTATTATCAGATAATGGAGGCATACAATTTGGACAAGAAAATTGGCTTCCAGGTGGAAAAATCAAAATTAGAAACAGAACTGTTAGAACCCTAAACTAAGATTTTGTCAAAGATGTATAACTTGCTGTTGAAATGGAATACTCAGGATGAAACGGTGAAATCTGCTATGATTAAATGGGCACAAGATGTTGGACATAACATTATGTTTGCTGACTGGGAACAGTTATGGACCACAAGTATGAAGTTTACGGCATGTAATGCCTTAAGAGAGAATATTATGAAAATGATATACGGGTGGTACATGACCCCAGTCAAGCTTGCAAAAATCTATCATTTGCCCGATAATAAATGCTGGAAATGTAAAGAAACTGAAGGTACATTTTTTCACCTTTGGTGGACGTGCCCAAGGATTAAGGCTTTCTGGGAAATGATATATAATGAACTGAAAAAGGTATTTAAATATACCTTCCTGAAGAAACCAGAGGCCTTTCTCCTGGGCATAGTCGACCAATCAGTGTTAAAGAAGGACAGAACTTTCTTTATGTATGCTACAACAGCAGCAAGAATACTTATTGCAAAGCATTGGAAGACACAAGATCTACCCACACTGGAGGAATGGCAGATGAAAATGATGGACTATATGGAACTGGCGGAAATGACTGGCAGAATCCGAGACCAGGGAGAAGAGTCGGTGGAAGAAGATTGGAAGAAATTTAAAGACTACTTACAGAAATATTGTAAAATTAATGAATGTTAGAATGATGACGGATTGAAGTTAAGCGGTTTCTAGCGGTAATGGTATAAAAGAATATGGAAAAATTGGTTTTTAATAGGTAAAAATTTAATGTTATAATATATTAACATTAAAGATCAAGATTAAAAAGGAGGGAAAGGAATTGCTGGACTAACAAACTGAATTGGAATACAAAAGAGGGTGGTATGAGGAGGTCCAGGAAACAAGTAAATCTAAAAGAAGTGATGAAAAGATGGAATTGTTTTTAACTGTTTTTTTCTTTTTTGTACTTTGTATTTTGTATCTTTCCTTTTTATTGTTAATTTTTTTATTGATGTGATCTTTTTCTTTTGAAATGTTAATAATGTTAACAATATCATTTAAAAAACAACAACAAAATAAGCTACTTCTCTCAAGCTACCCTAATCCTTTAGGTATCTTCTCACAAGAGGAGCGTAAAGTTTGTGAATATCGTGTATAAGCACAGAGAATATCTATGGAGGAGTGGTGTATGTTGGAATATGAGTGTGACGCAGCTGCAAACTGGCAGCTCGGTATTTACATCACAAGATGTGGCTAGCTGTGGGAAAGAATGTTCCCGGAAGTTCACAGGATTTACAAGGCTTTGTTCTGTGTGTAATATGAGACCTTCCCGTTGCGTATGTGAAGGAAGTCTGAGTCTCTTGCTCAGAGGAGACTGAACTGATCGGACATTTTTTTGTAGAGTTGTGCAGTCAGAAATAAACAAGACGTAAAAGACTTTCTGACTATCTTCTTTCTCCTGCTGGTATGCAAGGAAGAAGGGGTGTGCATCTTACCGGCTGGGAGATGTCGCCTATCAAGATCTTCCTGGACTGCGGGGATGTCAGCCAGAGTAGATCACCGGTAAACAAGCCCCGGGATCTGGGAGAGAGGCCAGCCTCTCCCGAGGGGGGCATGTTTTCCAACAGTGTATTAGTCTCAAGATTATTCCGAAATGTGGCATCACCAGCTCCTCTGCTTCCACATTCAGCAACACCTCCAAAAAGTCCTCAATTCAAGGCAGACTATTATCCTTTAGTTGACATATACTCTGCAGGTGACAATCCTGACTAGCCAGCTGACCTGGACCCCAAGGAACCCCATAACTCAGACAGCCCTGGGTGCTTGCACTTGAGAAATCTAGGGAAGGACCTACTTGACAGAACTGAAAAGAATTGATTGCATGCCTCCTGTGCTCTGCCATAAGAAGCTCAGAATGAAATATTCTCCAGATTTGACCTCTGACGTTCCTGCCTAATAAGTTTGAAGAAGGAACACAAGGGCTCATGCAAGTAGAACTTGACCCTTTGTGCTCCAGATCCAGCCCACCAGATATTCCAGCATGAGTTGAATTTATGGGCTGAAAAGCCACCTCCTCCCACCAGCAGGTTAATGAACCCTCTTTCCTACCAATTGGAGATGAAGAGCTTCCCCAAAGATTTGGTCCACATGCAAGAGGCAAATATGGCCACATCTGCCTGGCTTGCAATGAGAGAGCTCAAAGAACGTCAACAGGACACTCCATAGAAAGCACCAAGCATGGGGCCACTTACAGGTATTAGCTACTCGTCTGCCCATGCTCTGATGTTGCAGTTTTCAGGCTTGGGGACAGGAAGGTGACTGGGTTTGGCACCAAGTTGTGTCCATAAGCCCCACTGAGTTCAAGGGTTCTACCTTGAGGTCACTACTGGACAGACCCTGCCAGCCTTACGAAGTGGGGTGATTAGCAAACAGGGGAAATTGAAACCACTGGAGAGGTTTAGAAATGGGGCTTCTGTTGGGAAGGGGCCACCCCATTTGTGCTTCTCCAGGGGCAGGAGAATATCTAGGGCAGGAGAATCCCTGCAGGGCCTCTGAGGCTCCCTTTGCTTCTTCCTCTCTCCCAGGACCCTGCAGCTTCTTTTGGCTACTTGACTCTTCAGGAAGGATGAGTGAGACGGATCCTGTCAAGCTAGAGGAGATGGAAGAGGGAAGATGGACGGATGACCTGGTCAGGTTGTCTCCTGCATCCCTCCCCACAACCTCTGAGCGTTCCCTCCCAGGGACCTCTGAGAGATCTGGTGAGTCCCAGGGGAGTGGAGATGGGGACATGGATGGATGGAGCCGGAGAGGAATTGGGGCTTGCTCAGGTTGGGGGTGGGGGGAGGCAGGCAGGCAGATGGAGATGGAGAAGGGGAGCACCTTTTCGGGCTCCCCCACCTACCTGGCTGCCTGCCTACGCTTTTGTCATCTGCAGGCAATTTCAGATAGGAATAGATCACAGCTCCCTGCCCGAAGCGATGTATTGGCAGCTCAAAAGGTCTAAAACCAGTTCTGCGATCTGAATGCCCTGCCAATTACAGACAACTCACTGATCCATCACGCAGCACTGGACTCCTTAAGGGAACCTGATCCTGCTGTGCAGTGTGAACTCAGATGGGGCCTCCGTGTGTTGCCTTTTCCTCTTCTTTTGTATAACTTTTATTAGCTTTATAAAACAGGGAACATAGGAATAATAAATGATACAAATATGTAGGCTGAGTCTGTATATCTCAAACCTTCTCATCTGTCTACATCCTCTGTTCACAAATGTGACTTTTCCCTCCCTCTGAAGGGGGTTTATTTCCTTGACCCCAAGCCCCCTCCCCCAAAAGGAAGCAGCATCTGGATCCCAAGGAAGAGCAGAGCTGCAGACCTCCTGCGAAGTGGCCCCTCCCTGGCTTGGCAGAGAGGACAAGGGAGGACCCTCTGCTCCCTGACTTGGGGGTCTCCCCCCACCAGGAATTATCTGAACAGGGACCCCCATGCATTCCCTGCACCCCAGGTAGTGGCATAACAAGGTCAGGGGGTACCTGGTGTGGAAAAGTTTTTGTCACCTCCCAGTATTGACTTCTTTTTTTTTTTTTTTTTGCCTACAAAAATGTTTTGACTTTATTTCATATTTTCTTACAAAGTATTGTGGATTCTGGGCCTCCGATAACAAGTAGGCCACTGTGGACAGTTACTTAAATCTACAGGATGCATTGTCTTTTGGCTTGTGTTATTTTATTTATATTTATTGTTTATTTATTTCATAAAATTTATTTTAAACAACCTGCAAAGTTGTTTACCAATACAAAAAACAAGAACAACACCACAGCAGTAAAATCAATAAAAATTAACAAGCCTACTTTAAAACACAGAAAAGCTAAAATATTAAAAGAGATTAAAATTACTTCAGGTTCCTAAGCATCTGACTATGCTTGCCTAAACAAGAATGCTCTTAGCAGGTGCCAGAAAAGAGTCTAGCAAAGGCACGCGCTTTATTGCAAGAGGCGGGGAGTTCCAAAGGGCAGGTGCTGCCACACTAAACAACGCAGTGCTGGAAAGGGGGCGACATGCAAGAGGCCAGCCTGGCAGGGTTGTGGAAGGAGGAGCTCCTGGGAGGAAAGGAGGTGCCGTGGAAATGCCATTCTAGAAGTAAAGAGCCTCCGCCTCTCACTCCTCCTCCAAACGAGAGCCAGGGGTGTGTGTAAACATCTAGAGTGAGGGGGGAAAGTATTTGATCCCCTGCTAAATTTGGGTTTTTTGCCCTCTGACGAAGAAATGCCTAGTCCACAATATTAATGGTAGGTTTATTGTAGCTGTGAGAGACAGAATAACAACAGTGAAACCCAGAAGACAAAAGTCAAAGATTGATGAGATTATTTTTTTGGGGGTGCTTGTTCCTACTTTTCTCTCTTTTATTTATTCCCAATATCATCCCGATCTTAATCCTTTATCTTATCTTGACAGCCACTGGCATGCAACTTTCATCATATTTAACAGATCTATATCTAAATTAACATGCATGATGAAAATTGTGCTCTTCTTGTTGTTGTCCATCAATTGTTTTCGGTGCAGTCCCTCCTCAGAAGGCCCTATTTCATTCCACCATCTTATCTTCCAGGACTCTGGGCTGTCTTCCTGCTTTCCTTTGTTTAGTTAAAATTAAGACACATGTAATGTATTTTAACTGACTGATATTTTCCCAAACCGAAGAATCTTCTGTAAGAGACCACACTGTGCGATAGATTTCACAGTTAATACTTGTTTGGTTCCTCTAGAATCCAAGCTTGCTCCCCTGGGCCCTAAGGGAAGATTACAAAGATCAAAGATTCACCTTCACTTTTATAAATCCATATATGACAAAAGTCCATGCAAGCAGATGTGGTTTCCTGTGTGAAATATTCCCCAGTTGTAATCTGTCGGTTGTCTGCAGCCCTCTTTGAGAGGGACCCAATTTTCAACCCCGTATAAATTATTTGGTGGGCAATGAATGAATCTTTTCCCACATGCCAAACACTAAGACGTTGTCTCTCTTGTATGGATTCTTTGATGGGAATTGAGATCATCCACTCTGACTGAAAGCTCTTTCCACATTCCAAGCACTGATAGGGTTTCTCCCCTGTATGTATTCGTTGATGGGAAGTGAGCGTCCCCCTTTGACAGAAGCTCTTTCCACATTCCAAGCACTGATAGGGTTTCTCCCCTGTATGAATTCTTTGATGGGAAGTGAGATGACTCTTTCGATTGAAGCTCTTTCCACACTCCAAGCACTGATAGGGTTTCTCCCCTGTATGAATTCTTTGATGGGAAGAGAGATGGGTGCTTTGACTGAAGCTCTTTCCACACTCCAAGCACTGATAGGGTTTCTCCCTGTATGAATTCTTTGGTGGGAAGTGAGTTCACCACTCACACGAAAGCTCTTCCCACATTCGAAGCACTGATAGGGTTTCTCCCTTTATGAATTCTTTGATGGGAAGTGAGATTGGCTCTTTCACTGAAGCTTTTCCCACATTCGAAGCACTGATAGGGTTTCTCCCCTGTATGAATTCTTCGGTGGGAAGTGAGACCGGTGCTATGACTGAAGCATTTTCCACATTCCAAGCACTGATAGGGTTTCTCCCCTGTATGTATTTGTTGATGGGAAGTGAGCGTCGCCCTTTGACAGAAGCTCTTTCCACATTCCAAGCACTGATAGGGTTTTTCCCCTGTATGAATTCTTTGATGAGAAGTGAGATGACCCTTTCGATTGAAGCTCTTTCCACATTCCAAGCACTGATAGGGTTTCCCCCCTGTATGAATTCTTTGATGGGAAGTGAGACTGGCGCTGTAACTGAAGCTTTTCCCACACTCCAAGCACTGATAGGGTTTCTCCCCTGTATGAATTCTTTGGTGGGAAGTGAGATCACCACTCACACGAAAGCTCTTCCCACATTCGAAGCACTGATAGGGTTTCTCCCTGTATGAATTCTTTGGTGGGAAGTGAGTTCACCACTCACACGAAAGCTCTTTCCACATTCCAAGCACTGATATGGTTTCTCCCCTGTATGAATTCTTTGATGCACAGTGAAATTATTCTTTCGATTGAAGCTCTTTCCACATTCCAAGCACTGATAGGGCTTCTCCCCTGTATGAATTATTTGATGAGAAGTGAGATGGGCCCTCTGGCTGAAGCTCTTTCCACACTCCAAGCACTGATACGATTTCTCCCTACTCTGTGTTATTTCGTGTGAAGTGAGGCTATTCCTTCGAATGAAGCTCTTTCTTTGATGGGAGTTGGACTGGGAGCTCTGACGGATGTTCTCTCCACACTCTGAATATTTACATGACTTCTCCGCTATGTGGATCCTGTTGTGCTCTCCCTTGTTCTTCCCTTCTAAGTCATCACCACCTGCAATGAAGAGAGATGCTAATTAGAGTCTCAGGAGGAAATGGGAGCTCCAGATTATTGAACAATGTTAATGAATGCTTGTGACAGAGGAAGATCTGAAGAGAATGAGATGTGAGGCCGTCCTATAGGTTTCACTTCCTTAGTTGGCTGGTATTAACTGAGATATTGCTTGGCTTTTATCTGGGATGGATTTTGTTCTGGCTCAGTCATGGAATCCACTCCATCTGCAATCACAACATGTTATGATCCAACAGGGAGCCTTACCAAGAGAGTCCATGATCCCACGATTCTCCTCCTTGACCTCTTTATGCTGAGCTTTCTGGTCAAGATCCAGCAACGTCCACGCCTTGTCTGTGAAACAAACAGCAACATCTTCACCTGAACACTCCCCATCAGAAGTTATTTCAATCTGGTAAGTCAAAATTTAAATTGACAGATGGCAATATATACAACTTAGAAGTATATTCAACTCGGATCAAAAGAAAGGATTTGCAAAAGAAGATTTGAAATTTAAAGTCACAGTGATAAAGAACAACAAGAAATTGTTATCCAAAACCTATAATCTTTTACTGGACTGGGAATTGATGGAGGAAGAAGTGAAAGAAACGATGATTAAATGGTCTCAGGATCTTGGACATACTATCTATCTAGAGCAATGGGAGAAACTCTGGCGAGAGGATATACGATTTACTGCCTCATATACAATTAAAGAACATTTTGTAAAGATGTTCTATAGGTGGTACTTAACGCCAGTTAAGCTGGCAAAGATATACAAATTGAAATCCAACCTCTGTTGGAGATGTGGTGGAAAAATAGGAACAACAATACATATGTGGTGGAGGTGTGAGGAAATTAAGAAATTTTGGATAGTAGTACACGAAGAACTAAAGAAGATGTGGAAAATATCAATAACAAAGAAACCAGAGACATATCTCCTTGGAGTGATAGATGAAGAGATACCACGGGGGAAGAATTTGTCTATACGCAAGTACTGTGAGGAGAATCAGAATTTACAGGGTTAAACAGTTCTGTGTGACATCTCACATTCTGAGGCGTGGTTTTGTTCACATACGGGAATCTTTCTTTGTGTGCGAGTTACTTTCGTTTTTAGCTGTCGAGCCGAGGAGATGTCTGCTCGATCTCCAGGTTGATTTATGATGTTTTTCCGTACAATGATTAAAGACTTCTTAGATGAGCAAGAAGCCTGCGTACAGCCTTGGATTTATCACCCACCCAAGGCACGACCGCTGCTGCAAAACTCGGCTTGGAGCCAGGAAGACAGCTTCAGGCTCACAGTTGGCACGGAGAGTTGGCACAGGAAAGTGTGGCAGACGCCATTACATTCCACAAGTGCAGCTGCTAGAATAGTGATTGCTGCTCGGTGGAAGTCACAAACTATACCCACAAAGGAGGAATGGATTTGTAAACTAAATGAATATTTAATTCGGGCAAAATTAACTGCTATAAGAAGAAATGGATCCAAACTACAAGAAAGAAGATTCCACCTAAACATTAGGAAGAACTTCCTGACAGTAAGAGCTGTTTGACAGTGGAATTTGCTGCCAAGGAGTGTGGTGGAGTCTCCTTCTTTGGAGGTCTTTAAGCAGAGACTTGACAACCAAGTGGAAATGTTTTGATGAATATATGGCAAAATATTGCTCAAGGAAAGATACGCTAATATGCCTAGATTAAAATGTGAAGTACTGGATGGAAGAAAAATTAGTAAGGAAAGATAATAAGAATATGAAGATGATTTGAGAAGGTTGTAGAATGCAAAGATTATTGTAAATTGTATAATGTGGAGGAAATCCAGTGGGGGCGGAGGGAAGTGGGAGGAGGGAGAAAAGGATAATATGATGGATTGAGGAAATAGAAATGTAAATGTATGGGGGGATGGGGAGGAAATGGTGTTGGCTTTGGTACATCTGTATTGTAAAGTAATATGTGAAAACCATTAAAAATAATAATAATTAAAAAAAATTAAAACAGGAAAATATTTAAATTTATACGTAAATCTCTTTCTTCACTTTGAACCCCCCCTCCCATTTTCATGATAAGACCAACTCTGTCTTGTTTCATTGGTAACAGAAGAGGAAAAATGACTATTACTCACTTAATCTAAGCACAACGGCCACAAGAGCTCCAGTCTAGGCATTTGGCTCTGCGATCTTGAATGTTCTCTGTTCTCTCCTGTTTCCCCTTTTTTGTTTCAGTTGAAAGCAATTCATGCACCCAGAACTCATACACTGACCACTAATGATGAACTATATGTTATAGATACTCCTGCAAATTTATTCTGCTATGTTTGAGATATACAGGCTCGGCCTACATATTTGTATCATTTATTATTCCTATCTTCCTTGTTTTATAAAGCTAATAAAAGTTATACAAAAAGAAGAGAAAAAGGCAACACACGGAGGCCCCATCTGAGTTCACACTGCACAGCAGGATCAGGTTCCTTTAAGGAGTCCAGTGCTGCGTGATGGATCAGTGAGTTGTCTGAAATTGGTAGGGCATTCAGATCACAGAACTGGTTTTAGACCTTTTGAGCTGCCAATACATCGCAGTGGCCGGGGAGCTGTGATCTATTCCTAGCTCAAATTGCCTGCAGACGACAAAGGCGCAGGCAGGCAGGCAGGCAGGCAGGCAGGTGGGGGAGCCCAAAAAGGTGCTCCCCTTCTCCATCTCCATCCGCCTGCCTGCTTCCTCCCACCCCCAACCTGAGCAAGCCCCAATTCCTCTCCGGCTCCATCCCTCTACGTCCCCATCTCCCCTCCCCTGGGACTCACCAGATCTCTCGGAGGTCCCTGGGAGGGAACGCTCAGAGGTTGTGGGGAGGGATGCAGGAGACAGCCGGACCAGGTCAACCGTCCATCTTCCCCCTTCCATCCTCGTTAGCTTTGCAGGATCCTTCTCTTTCATCCTTCCTGAGGAGTCAAGGAGCCAAAAGAAGCTGCAGGGTCCTGGGAGGGAGGAAGAAGCAAAGGGAGCCTCAGAGGCCCTGCAGGGATTCTCCTGCCCTAGATATTCTCCTGCCCCTGGAGAAGCACAAATGGGGCAGCCCCTTCCCAACAGAAGCCCCATTTCGAAACATCTCCTGTCGTTCCAGTTTCCCCTGTTTGCTAATCACCCGACTTCGTAAGGCTGGCAGGGTCTGTCCAGTAGTGACCTCAAGGTGGAACCCTTGAACTCAGTGGGGCTTATGGACAGAACTTGGTGCAAAAACCAGTCACCACCCTGTCCCCAAGCCTGAAAACTGCAACCCCAGAGCATGGGCAGAAAATAGCACAGTAGCTATTACAGTGGTACCTCAGGTTAAGTACTTAATTCGTTCCAGAGATCCGTACTTAACCTGAAACTGTTCTTAACCTGAAGCACCACTTTAGCTAATGGGGCCTCCTGCTGCCACTGTGCCGCTGGAGCACAATTTCTGTTCTCACCCTGAAGCAAAGTTTTTAACCTGAAGCACTATTTCTGGGTTCACGGAGTCTGTAACCTGAAGCGTATGGAACCCGAGGTACCTCTGTACATGTATTGTAGGTGCCTGCATGCTTGGTTCTTTGTATGAAGAGCCCTGTTGACGCTCTTTGAGCTCTCTCATTGCAAGCCAGGCAGGTGTTTTGGCCATATTTGCCTCTTGCATGGGGACCAAATCTTTGGGAAGCTTGTCATCTCCAATTGGTAGGAAAGAGGGTTCATTAACCTGCTGGTGGGAGGAGGTGGCTTTTCAGCCCATAAATTCAACTCACGCTGGAATATCTGGTGGGCTGGATCTGGAGCACAAAGGGTCAAGTTCTACTTGCATGAGCCCTTGTGTTCCTTCTTCAAACTCATTAGGCAGGAACGTCAGAGGTCAAATCTGGAGAATATTTCATTCTGGGCTTCTTATGGCAGAGCACAAAAGGCATGCAATCAATTCTTTTCAGTTCTGTCAAGTAGGTCCTTCCCCAGATTTCTCAAGTGCAAGGACCCAGGGCTGTCTGAGTTATGGGGTTCCTTGGGGTCCAGGTCAGCTGGCTAGTCAGGATTGTCACCTGCAGAGTATATGTCAACTAAAGCAGGATAGTCTGCCTTGGATCGAGGACTTTTTGGAGGTGTTGCTGTATGTGGAAGCAGAGGAGCTGGTGATGCCACATTTTGGAATAATCTTGAGACTGATACACCACTTCTCCTTAGATATTCTCTGTGCTTATACACCATCTTCACAAACTTTACGCTCCTCTTGTGACAAGATTTCCAAAGGCTTAGGTTAGCTTGAGAGAAGTAGCTTATTTTGAGACAGCACCCATTTCCAATTCCTTTTTATGAAAACCCTCTCCCTAGTTGGTTTGGTTTTGGCTTTTGACAGGACATCAGACCATTTGATAACCTTGCATATCGTTTCATATTGATATAGGAATCTGGTGTGCAGATTCTAGCATAGTACAAGCTTCTTAGTGTTCTGTCTGGACCCAGAGCATGAGCTGCTCTTGAACTTCCGGGGTGGCGCCATCGGTAATGGCGGATTCCCTCTGATCTGGAGGGAACTGGCTCCACGGAAATAGGGTCTGCACCGCTACGGCGCAGCGGGGACCCTTCAAAAATCACAGGCGGGTGAAGCCTGTGACCGTGGGACTCGGCGGGCACCTTTGCGCCCCCCCAATCAGCAAAGGAACCCGGCAACGGGCTCCGGAGCTGAGCGGGGAAGTGGCGCTGTGCTGTGAGTCGTCTGCTTCTTCCGTGGAGTGAAGCCGCGCAGCTGTTGCCGGAGAGCGCTGCCTTTTTCCTGGGACAATTTGGCTTTGAAACAATGATCCGTGAGTAGGTTAACTTTCCAATTAAAGGAACTTTACAAAACTTTTGAATAATTCAGTACCGAAGCGGAGAGGTATAAAAAGGAAGTCTGCCTCCCGCTCTTGTAAACGGAGTAAAGCATTGAACTTGAAAGCGGAAGCTTTAAAAGACGTTGGAAAAGGATTATAATTCGAGCATCAAAACTGTGATTTTCCCCCCTTGACTGCAGGGGAGGAGGGGGGAGAAGGTTTGAACGTTATTTCCCTGAAAAAAGAGAGGAAGAGGAAACAAAAACCACCGCTTAAAACCCTGGAACGGGTTCTGCCGTATTGGAAACTGCGCTGTCGATGAAAGTACTTTTTGACAGCTAACTCTGCATCGGAGATACAACTTGGTTACAATATTGCTGACAGGTATCTCCTGGTTTTAAAGTAACAGATTGAGACAGAAACTGTTGTCTTTTCGGTGAATTGGGGGGCTAAAGGGAGAAGTTAATTATTTTAAGACATTTTAGACTGTTACAGTGTCCCCTAGAGGAAGTTTGAATCTGTTACAACTGCAGCTGGCTTAAGGGAATTTTCCACTTCAATTTCCCAAGGGAACTTTCCACTTCAAAACAACTCTGACTCTGACTGTGAGACTGACCCTGGCTTATATCTTGAGGGTTATGGCAGATGGGAAAGAGAAGATAGATTTGTTACAAGCAACAAGGTCTGGCAAAGTATTTCATACAGACGGTGGGCTGCAAAGAAGGGCTTCGACATCTGGCCCTCCTGGTTTACCAACAGCAACCTCATCGGCACAATCTAAACCCAAAGGCATGGCAGCTGATGATGCCCTGGCTCAGGCACTAGCTAAAATTAATGAATCTTTGGAAAGAATAAGTAAACAAGTAGCCGAGGCATCGGGTAAAATTGATCAAAACACGACAAGTATTAATCAAAATACGACAAGTATTAATAATTTGGGACAGAAGGTAAATACTAATACAGAAACTATTCAGAAACTATTACAGGAATCTACTTCGACACGTAAGACAGCCGAAGAGGCTAAAGAAATTGCTACTGCTACAGCTACTGTGGTAGAAGAGAAGATACCACCGCTACATAAACAACTTGAAGACCATAAGTCAATTTTGTCTATGATCGAGTTGAAGGAGAAACAAGTGAATTTAAGGGTCAGGGCTGTACCTGAAGTGGAGAAGGACAATTTGATTGAATTTCTTACGCAGGAATTTGCAGACTTTTGGAACCCAGATTTGGGGAAGGACAGTTTCAAGATAGTGAGTGCTTTTAGGCTTGGAAGAGGAGGGAGAAAGAACAGGGTGAGAGACTGTTTGATCACCCTCCAAACAAAAGAAGAGAGAGATAAAATCTTGAGCCTGCATTTCCAGAAGACCTTGGAAATACAACAGTCAAAAGTGGAGATATTGAAGGATATCCCGAAACATCCTTTGGACCTTAGGTCCAACTATAAAGATTTGGTTACTCTGCTGAAAAGCAACGGAATTATTTTTAGGTGGGAATTCCCCTAAGGCCTATCCTTTAGCTATAAAGGAAAGAAGATAAAAATAAGATCAGAAGACGACAAAGACAAATTTTGGAGAGACCACGGAGAAGACCTGCAGAAGAAAGTCACAGGAGAGCTAAGAGAACTTGTAAGAGAAACTTTAGACATACCAGATTTATCTCTGGAACTAAAAGACCGCCTGAAAAAGGTGATACCACCGACAGAACAGGAACAGGCCCTGGGTGCTGTTGGAGGAGAAGTAAAGTAGTTACATTATGGCTCTGCAACTATTAAGCTGGAATTGTAATGGCTTGAACTCCCCCCAGAAAAGGAGATCTGTGTTTCATTTATTAAAAAGGAACAATTGGACTTGATTTGCCTACAAGAAACACATATAACAAGGCTACACAGGAAACTATTGATTAATAAAAGACTTGGGCAGGAGTTTATTTCATCGGACAAGGTTAAAAAAGAGGGGTTGTGATTTATGCAAAGGACAGATTATCACCGAAATTTATCTTTAAAGATGACCAAGGAAGATTTGTGGCAATCGAAATTCAAACACAAGGAGAAAAAATTTTGATAGTATGAATCTATTCACCTAATGAGGTTAAATCTGAATTTTTTAAGAAGTTGCATGAGACCCTGATGGACTATCTGGATTACAACATGATTTTGATGGGAGACATGAATGGAGTGGTATCTACACATATGGACAAGGCACAAAGACAGGTAGTCACTAAGGATGGTAGACTACCGAAAACTTTTTTTGAGATGACAGACAACTTGGACTTAGTCAATATTTGGAGAACAAGGAACCCCATGGCTAAAGAAGGAACCTTCTTTTCTGAAGCCAAAATGACATGGACAAGAATTGACCAAATATGGGTAACTAGAGGAATGGCACCAAAGACAAGAAAAGTGGAAATCTGCCCAAAAACCTGCTCCGACCATAATGCTGTTAAGGTGGAAATGAAACTAACACCAACTGGCTCCTTTAGATGGAGGATGAATGACACCTTATTTAGAGATGAAGAAGTGCTTAAGAAGGCCCAAAAAACCTTGAGAGACTATTTTGAGATAAATATGAGCACCAATGTGGAAAAAGAGTAATCTGGGACGCAAGCAAAGCGGTTATGAGAGGGTTCTTGATACAACAGAATGCATTAAAGAAGAGAATCCAAAATGAGAAGAAGGATAAAATATTGGAGAAAATAAAGGAAAGTGAAAAAAGATTGAGAACAAAACCAAAGTCTCAAGAGATTCTGAGAGAAATAAAATTATATCAAGTGCAATATATGAAAATGATGAACCAAGAGATAGAATGGAAAATTAAACAAATGAGACAAAAGACATTTGAATCAGCTAACAAATGTGGGAAATTGTTGGCCTGGCAAATGAAAAAAAGACAAAAATTAAATACAGTTACAAATTTAGAAGTGGAAGGAAGGAATATACAGAACCCAGCTGAGATTAGAAATTGTTTCCAGAGGTACTTTAAACAACTATATACACAAGGACCACTGAAAGAAACCGATTTAGATCGATTTTTGAAAACAAATGGATTACAAAAAATCTCTCAAGAAAATAAATTAATGTTGAACTATAAAATAACTGAACAGGAGATAGAAGGTGCCATTCAAAACATGCAATTGGGTAAATCTCCAGGACCGGATGGACTGACTTCTAGATATTACAGATCCTTGAAAGAATGGCTAGTACAACCTTTGAAAGAGGTCTGCAATGAAATAATGGAGGGGAAAGGGCACCAGAGTCGTGGAAAGAAGCTTATATTACACTTGTACCGAAAACAGAGACTGAAAAGACGCAGCTTAAGAACTACCGCCCCATATCATTACTTAATGTGGATTACAAATTTTTTGCAGACATTTTGGCTAAGAGATTGAAAAAAGGGTTGATGGAAGAGATTCATAAAGACCAAGCGGGCTTTCTCCCGGGAAGACACTTGTCTGACAATTTGAGGAATAGAATCGATATTTTGGAAAAACTAGAAGTGAACATAAATACTAAAGCAGTTATGATATTTGTGGATGCGGAGAAAGCTTTTGACAACATTTCTTGGAGTTTTATGAAGAAGAACCTACAGGGTATGGGGGTAGGCCAAGGCTTTGAAAACTGTACAAGTGCAATTTACTCAGAACAAAAGGCTAAATTAATTGTAAATAATGTGGTGACAGAAGAATTTAAGATAGAAAAAGGGACACGACAAGGTTGCCCAATTTCCCCATTGCTTTTTATTTCGGTCCTGGAGGTTTTGCTGAACATGATTAGAAGGGACCGGTTGGTTAAAGGTATACAGGTCGGAGCTAAACAGTACAAATTGAGAGCATTTGCAGATGATTTAGTATTGACGTTACAGGAGCCAGAATCTAGTACCAAAAGGGTTTTAGAATTGATTCAAGAATTTGGTCAAGTTGCAGGGTTTAAATTGAATAAATTAAAAACTAAGGTTTTAGAGAAAAATTTAACACCAATGGAGAGAGAGAGGTTTCAGAATGTGACAGGTTTAACAGTGGTTAAGAAAGTTAAATACCTGGGGATTAATATGACAGCAAAAATGGGAATTTATTTAAAGATAACTATGAGAAATGTTGGGCTGAAGTGAAAAAAGATTTAGAAATTTGGTCAAATTTGAAGCTTTCACTGCTGGGCCATATTGCTGCGATAAAAATGAATGTATTGCCCAGAATGTTGTTTATGTTTCAAACATTGCAAGTTGTGGACAAAATGGACTGTTTCAAGAGGTGGCAGAGAGATATTTCTAGATTTGTCTGGCAGGGCAAGAAGCCCAGAATAAAATTTAAAATACTAACAGATGCAAAGGAAAGAGGTGGATTTGCCCTGCCAGACCTTAAACTTTATTATGAATCAGCAGCTTTTTGCTGGTTGAAAGAATGGCTGCTTCTTGAAAACACTGACATTTTGGATCTAGAAGGTTTTAACAATGTATTTGGATGGCATGCATATCTGTGGTATGATAAGGTCAAAGCACATAAAGCATTTAAAAACCATATTGTTAGGAAAGCTTTGTTTAATGTTTGGATAAGATATAAGGACTTATTGGAAAATAAAACCCCAAGGTGGCTGTCACCGATGGAAGCGAAAGCCCTGAAAAAGAGAGAATATTATGAAAATGATATACAGGTGGTACATGACACCAGTCAAGCTTGCAAAAATCTATCATTTGCCCGATAATAAATGTTGGAAATGTAAAGAAACTGAAGGTGCATTCTTTCACCTTTGGTGGACGTGCCCAAGGATTAAGGTTTTCTGGGAGATGATTTATAATGAATTTAAAAAGGTATTTAAATATACCTTCTTGAAGAAACCAGAGGCCTTTCTCCTGGGCATAGTCGACCAATCGGTGTTAAAGAAGGACAGAACTTTCTTTATGTATGCTACAACAGCAGCAAGAATACTTATTGCAAAGTATTGGAAGACACAAGATCTACCCACACTGGAGGAATGGCAGATGAAAATGATGACTATATGGAATTGGCGGAAATAACTGGCAGAATACGAGACTAGGGAGAAGAGTCGGTGGAAGAAGATTGGAAGAAATTTAAAGACTACTTACAGAAATATTGTAAAATTAATGAATGTTAGAATGATGACGGATTGAAGTTAAGCGGTTTCTAGCAGTAATGGTTAAAAGAATTGGAAAAATTGGTTTTTAATAGGTAAATGTTAATGTTATAATATATTAAGATTAAGATCAGGATTAAAAAGGAGGGAAAGGAATTGCTGGACTAACAAACTGAATTGGAATACAAAAGAGGGAGGTATGAGGAGGTCCGGGAAACAAGTAAACGTAAAAGAAGTGATGAAAAGATGGAATTGTTTTTAACTGTTTTTTCTTTTTCTTTTTTGTACTTTGTATTCTGTATTTTTCTTTCTATTGTTAATTTTCTTATTAATGTGATCCTTTTCTTGTGAAATTCTAATAAATATCTTTAAAAAAAAAGAGCATGAGCTGCTCTTAAGTAAGTTAAAAAGTATTTTCAAGTCAACTTTTTAATATTGCACTATTTTTAAAATTTTTAAGACTTTTGCTCTTCTTTGTACTTATAGACCTCCTTTTGCCATGTGGACGAATCAAACCTCCCTTATTGATCTATTTTTAATGGTATGGAAAGAGAAATTGTTGTATTATCTGGTTCCACAGACTCTGCTAGATTTTATTCAGAAGGTTTTACAAGTACCTATCAGGATGGTAAGAATTTTATTACAGTCAGCCAAAAAGGATTATAAGTGTTCCATGCAATCTGTTAGTACTACAAGCCACCCAAAGACTGATAATCTTTGGGTGGACTTCCGGTCGGCGCCAGCGTTTAATGGCGGTCCTCGCTTCGAGCTCCGGAGGAGGACTGCTCCGCGAGTTTGGGTCTGACCCGCTACGGCGAGCGGGGGACCCCTAAAATCACAGGCGCTGAAGCCTGTGAACAAGGAGACTCGGTGGGCACCTTTGCGCCCCGGTACTGTGAAAGAGCCTTTTAAAGGCTACGGAGCGGCATCGGGGTGAGCGCGGTGCTGAGAGTCGCAACCCAGCCCGTGGAGTGAAGCCGCGTCGCCATGAACGGAGAGCGCCGATTTCTTCCTGAACCAGAAATTCGACTGTAAACCCCGTGAGTAAGACGGAGGGACTGAACGGGACATTTAAATTTAAATCCTGAAATTTGGCTGAAAACGGGAAAGGCATAAATTAAGGAAGTCTGCCTCCCCGATCTGCATGGCAATTAAAGCAACGAAAGAGTAAAGCTGCATTTGAAAGAAAATTATCTTTGAGCTGTCAAACCTGACATTTGACTTAAACTTCCCCCCAGTAAGCAGGAGAAGGGGGGAAGAAAACTGGACACTGTTAATCTGCCTGAAATTAACTGAGGAAAAAACATCTTCCACTGCCAAATCCCCAGGACGGACTGCCTGAGTAAGGCACCGGGAAAGTGAACTGTCAGTTTAGACTGGATACAAAGTTGGGGTTTTGTCTGAGACAAAGTTACGGGACTTTAATGGAATTACTTTGTTGAACTTGTGACTATACTGAAAAAGTGCGACAGAAACTTTTACTGTGGACTCTTGGATTTTTTGTTGATTGCTCTATGTTTCCTTGTTCTTTCTCTTTTCACTTGGATACAATTAAATGCTCCCTCTAGAGGGTATAAAGAGAAACTGTTACAGTGAAAAAGAAACAGTGGGATTTTCCACTTGCAAGTCTTTCCTGTGAGAACGACCTTGAGGATATGGAGTGGTCCAGCAGAAGAGATAACAACTAGATCCAAAGCAAAACAGACACAAAAGAAAAGGGGCTCAATACCTGGCATACCACCAGCTGCACAGGAAAAAGTGGCAACAGCATCTATGGATTCAATGACACAGGCACTGCTCAAAATAAACCAATCTTTAGAAGCACTGACAAAGCTATCTACGGAAAATTCAAAAAAATTGACAGAACTGACAGCAAGATTGGACTTGAATACTGCAAGTGTAACATCTAATACAGAATCTATTAATAAATTAATTCAAGAAAGTTCTGAAACACGAAAGATTGCTGAAAGTGCAAAAAATACTGCAGAGGAGACAAGGGAGGAGCTTGTGCCGATTACAAAAAAAGTGAATGAACATGATGCAGCCCTATCTTTGCTGGAATTACAGAGAAAAGAGAGAAATTTGAAATTGAGATTGGTTCCCGAGAGTGAGGGAGACAGCCTTGTGGACTTCCTTACACAGAACTTTACGGAATTTTGGCAAGAGGAGCTGCAGGAAGAAGAATTTGAAATAACAACAGCTTTCCGGCTGGGCAGGAGGCAAGGTAAGAAGCCAAGGGATTGTTTGATCACATTGAGATCCAAAGGAGAAAGAGATAAAATATTGAACTTGCATTACCAAAAGGCATTGGAGATTGAAAATAGTCAAGTACAAATTTTTAAAGATATCCCTAAATATATTTTGGAGGTGAGAGCCTTCTATAAAGATTTGGTCTACCTGCTGAAGAAAAATATCATACCCTTCAGGTGGGAGTTTCCACAAGGATTGTCTTTTAACTTCAAAGGAAGGAAGGTCAAAATAAGAACAGTTCAAGATAAAGAACAGTTTTTGGAGAGATATCAGGAGGACTTGCAGAAAGGAACAGTAGAAACAACAATACAAGAAAAAGGAGTGACAGACATTGCAAACTTGTCATTTGGACTCATACCACCATCTGAAGATGAACAAAAGCTAGGAGCAGTCGGAGGAACAGGTACTTAATAACAAAATGTCTCTGCAACTTCTTAGCTGGAATTGTAATGGTTTGAACCTTCCCGAAAAAGACGCCAAGTTTTTCATATTTTGAAAAGAGAACAATTAGACCTAATATGTCTACAAGAGACCCATGTGACCAGGACACATAGGAAATTATTGGTAAACAAGAGACTTGGACAGGAATTTATTTCATCAGACAAAGTTAAGAAAAGAGGCGTGGTGATTTATGCAAAAGAAAAATTGGCTCCAAAGATGATATTTAAAGATGAACAAGGAAGATACCTGGCAATTGAAATACAAGTTCAAGGAGAAAAAATCTTGATAGTCGGAATTTATGCACCAAATGACGGGAAGGCGGAATTCTTTAAGAAGTTGCATGAGACTTTAATGGACTATCTAGACTATAGAGTAGTAATGATGGGAGACATGAATGGTGTAGTTTCCACAAATATGGACAAAGCACAGAGACAAGTAATTTCCAAGGAAGGGAGACTACCAAAGACTTTTTTGAAATGACAGAAACTATGGACTTGATTGACATTTGGAGAACAAGGAACCCTCTTGAGAGAGAGGGAACATTTTTCTCTGAAGCAAAAATGACATGGACAAGAATTGACCAAATTTGGGTAACTAGCAGTATGGCGCCAAGGATCAAAAAGGTAGAAATCTGCTCAAAGACTTGCTCCGACCATAATGCTGTAAAGATGGAGATGAAACTAACATCAACTGGATCCTTTAGATGGAGAATGAATGACACCCTATTTAGAGATGAAGAGATTTATAAGAAGGCCCAAAAAACACTGAAAGATTACTTTGAGATAAATTTGAGAACAGAAGTGGAAAAAGAATAATCTGGGACGCAAGTAAGGCCGTGATGCGAGGTTTCCTAATACAACAGAACTCCATAAAAAGCAAAAAACAAAATGAAAGGAAGGCAAAATTCGGGAAAAAATAAAAGAAGGTGAAAAGAAATTGAGGTCTAAACCAAAGTCCCATGAGATTCTGAGAGAAATAAAGCACTATCAGGTGCAATATATGGAATTGATGAATCAAGAGATAGAATGGAAAATAAAGCAAATGAGACAAAAGACATTTGAATCAGCAGATAAATGTGGGAAATTTCTGTCATGGCAATTGAAAAAGAGGCAAAAACTGAACACTGTGACAAGTTTAGAAGTGGATGGAAAGATTATCCACAAACCAAACGAGATAAGTAATTGTTTTCAAAGTTACTTCAGGAAATTATATGCACAAGGGCCAGTCAACGAACAGGAAATAGAAGAATTTGTTAAGAAACATGGATTACCAAAAATTTCAGAGCAAAGCAGAAGGATTTTGAATGAGAAAATAACAGGACAAGAAATAGAGGGTGCCATTCAGAAGATGCAATTGGGAAAATCTCCAGGACCAGATGGTTTGACCGCCAGATATTATAAAGCGTTGAAGGAATGGTTAGTACAACCACTGAAGGAAGTATGTAATGAAATTTTGGAGGGAAAAAGGCACCAGAGTCGTGGAAAGAAGCCTTTATTTCACTTATACCGAAAACTGAGACTGAAAAGAACCAGGTTAAAAACTACCGCCCTATATCATTACTCAATGTGGATTACAAAATTTTTGCAGACATTATGGCAAAAAGACTGAAGAGAGTGTTGGTAGGGGAGATTCATAAGGACCAAACTGGCTTTCTTCCAGGGAGACATATGTCGGACAATGTGAGGAACATTATAGACATTTTGGAACTGTTAGAAGTGGACATCAATAGGAAGGCTGTTTTAATTTTTGTGGACGCGGAGAAAGCCTTTGATAATATTGGTTGGAGCTTTATGAAGAAGAATCTCCAAGGGATGGGGGTAGGTCAAGGGTTTGAAAACGGTATAGGTGCAATATATTCTAAACAAAAAGCAAAGTTAATTGTAAACAATGTGGTTACGGAAGAAATATCTATAGAAAAAGGTACACGACAGGGGTGCCCAATATCCCCTTTACTTTTTATATTAGTCCTGGAGGTTTTGTTAAACATGATTAGAGGAGACCAGTTGGTTAAAGGAGTACAAGTCGGAGCTAGACATTACAAGCTAAGGGCATTTGCAGATGACCTAGTACTGACCTTGCAACAGCCAGATACTAGTACTAAAAGAGTATTAGAACTAATTGAGATATTTGGTCAAGTAGCAGGATTTAAACTGAACAAACAGAAAACGAAAGTGTTGGACAAAAATTTAACATTGGCTGAAAAAGAGAAGTTTCAGAATGAAACAGGTTTAGTGATAACGAAAAAGTAAAGTATCTGGGGGTAAACTTAACATCTAAGAATGTGAATTTATTTAAGGACAATTATGACAAATGTTGGACAGAGGTAAAGAAAGATCTAGAAATATGGTCAAGGTTGAAACTCTCTTTGTTAGGTCGAATTGCTGTTATCAAGATGAATGTATTGCCTAGAATGTTGTTTTTATTCCAGACATTGCAGATTTTGGACAAGATGGACTGTTTCAAGAAGTGGCAGAAAGATATATCTAAATTTGTCTGGCAGGGCAAAAGCCCAGAATAAAATTTAAGATTCTAACTGATGCAAAAGATAGAGGGGGTTTGCCCTGCCGGACTTAAGACTCTACTATGAATCGGCGGCTTTCTGCTGGTTGAAACATTGGCTACTTCTTGAGAATACAGACATTTTGGATCTAGAAGGGTTTGACAATAGATTTGGCTGGCATGCATATATATGGTATGATAAGGTAAAACTGCATAAAGGTTTCAAAAACCATATTGTTAGGAAAGCATTATATAATGTTTGGATGCGGTATAAAGATTTATTGGAAAGTAAAACTCCCAGGTGGTTGTCACCAATGGAAGCTAAAGAGGTGAAAAAACTTAATATGGAGTCTAAATGGCCAAAATATTGTGAAATTTTAGAACAAGATGGGGAAAAAGTTAAATTACAGAGTTATGAGAAATTAAAGTCCAAAGTGCGAGATTGGTTGCACTACCTTCAGATAAACGAGACATTTAAACAGGACAGGAAAATAGGTTTCCAGATGGAGAGGTCAAAATTAGAAACAGAACTGTTAGAACCCAATACTAAGAATCTGTCGAGAATGTATAATCTGCTGTTGAAATGGAACACACAGGATGAAACGGTGAAATCAGCTATGATAAAATGGGCACAAGATATTGGTCATAACATTATGTTTGCTGACTGGGAACAGCTGTGGACCACCGGTACTAAATTTACGGCATGTAATGCCTTAAGAGAAAACATTATGAAAATGATGTATAGGTGGTACATGACCCCAGTCAAGCTTGCAAAAATTTATCATCTGCCCAATAACAAATGTTGGAAATGTAATGAGACTGAAGGTACTTTTTATCACCTTTGGTGGACCTGCCCGAGGATAAAAGCTTTTTGGGAAATGATCTATAATGAAATTAAGAAGGTTCTTAAATGGACCTTCCCTAAAAACCTGAGGCTTTTCTCCTGGGCATTGTCGGCCAATTGGTGAGAAGGAAGGACAGGACGTTTTTATGTATGCGACCACAGCAGCAAGGATTCTTCTAGCAAAGTATTGGAAGACACAACAACTACCCACACTGGAAGAATGGCAGACGAAGGTGATCGACTACATGGGACTGGCGGAGTTGACTGGCAGAATCCGTGACCAGGGGAAAGAGACAGTGGAAGAAGATTGGAAGAAATTCAAAGTTTATCTTAGAACTTGTTGTAAAATTCAGGAATGTTAAAATGTCAAGGGGTTGGGAAACAGAGAATTGCAGCTGTAATTAACAATATTAGAAGAACTTAAAAGAAATTGAATTGAATAATTAGTCGACTGAGGAGTTGCTGAAGAAATATAAAACAAGGATGCAGAAAAGGGGAGGTATGGGGAAGTCCGGAAAGTAAGGTTTATGAAAAAATGGTTATGAAATTATACATGTTTATATGTTTGTATGTCGGTGTATTGTGTATTGTTTTTTTTTTTTTTTATTTTGTGTTTGGAAAATTAATAAAAATTTATTTAAAAAAAAAAAAAACAAAGACTGATAATCCCTCTTTTGTCCCAGAAGTTTGGGAGTAGCAGTCTTTTATACTTGCTTTAATTTTGAATTTTGCTTTCAGATTAGTTCCTCTACTTGTTTAGCCTGAATTTGGCCTTGAGTCGCTTGAGCTCCTGGTCTCAGTGCCAGAGATGACTTAGCAGTTGAGCTGCCTGGGCCCAAAACCTCTTTCTGCTCATCCTTAGAGCTGCTGAGAGATCCTATAAGGTCAGTAATAGGATCTGGCTCCTGCTGTTTCTTAGCCACCTCCTCGTTTTCTTATTCACGTAAAATGGAGTAATTTTTGCTTGTGCTTTCTTTAGAGAAGCTTTCTTTGGAGGAGGGTCTGTGGCACTCGGGGAGAGAACATACATTTTGTAACTACTCTGGGTCAACACTGTCTTTCCGCTTAATTCCTCATCAAGTTTCCTTATACCAGTTATACCTTATGCCTTATACCATTTTCTAAAATTCTGTGATTATCCTTGCTGTGATTTATTGAATGGAAACTGAGACAGGTTTTCCAGGTGAAGCTTTTTCCAAACACTCCCCTGTATGAAGTATCTCTTGGGAATTGAGAATGGAGCTGCGAAGGAAGCTTTCCTCACGTTTCAAGCACTAATTTCTTCCCCCCGTTAGTTCTTTCATGTGAAGTGAGGCTCTCCTTCTGAACGAAGAGCTTTCCTTGATGGGAAGTGGACTGGGAGCTCCGACTAAAGTTCTCTCCACACACTGAATATTTATATGGTTTCTCCATTGTGTGGATTTTTCTTGTTGTCTCCATTCTTCTTCCTTTCCAATTCACCACCTACAACCCACGGCAGTATTATTAATTAATTAATTAATTAATTAAATAATAATAGCCTCAGGAATAGATAGAGTCTGAAATGATTGAACAATGCAAATGAATGTTTGTGAAAGAGGAAGAAGGGAAGGGAGTTACTGCCTTTTTTGGCTGGTATTAGCTAACGTATTTATGGGACCCGGAGATTCGAAAAGCCTGGCTCGTTCCAGGGATGGATGTAATTTGGCTCAGTCGTGGAATCCGCTCCATCTCCAAGCTCAGTCATTTCTTTGCTCAACCAAAAACAGACAGATGCAGAAAGGGAAACAGAAAATTAGACAGGATGTACTTCCATGTCCTTAATATCTCTGAAGATTACACTGAAGAAGGCCTGGGCAGCTCAGAGCAGCCTCCTCATGGTTGGAAAAGGCAGGACTGGTGGAAGAATATTCCCAGACAGAACAGGAGATACATCTCCTATGGAGAGTTGTGGGTGTGTTAACATCTCAGATGCTGTAGGTGGCGCTATGGGGCTCCCTCAAAATAGAGGAGGTTTGTCCTTCAGAGATCTGTATGGAATTTCAAAACTGATCTTATGATCCAGCAGGGAGCCTTACCAGAGAGGCCACGATCCCACAATTCTCCTCCTTGACTTCCTTCTGCAGAGCTCTCTGGTCAGGATCCAGCAAAGCCCAGTCCTCCTCTGTGAAAGGAACAGCTACGTCTTCAAAGCACACTGCACCCTAAGGGAAAAAGGGAGCACAAAGATGATATTTTTCTACACATTGCTCTGTTCTTTTCTGCCTCTTAATAGCTGCATTGTTTTAACATTATTCTTTTCCTTCATGCTTATTTCAGTATCTTAATGGAACAATTTTGTTGTGTATTTAAATGATGGGGGAGAGACGTGTGTTGTTGCATCTGGGACAGAGGAAGTGGTCCTGTTGTGCTGCTGCAGATGCAGACGGGCTTTTCTTCTCCCTGTGCTCCCCCCACGTGGGAATGTTCCTATCCGGCTACAACCTCTGTTCACAAATGTGACTTTTCCCTCCCTCTGAAGGGGGTTTCTTTGCCAGCCCACTTTTCCTTGACCCAAAGCCCCCTCCCTAAAAAGGAAGAGCAGAGCTGCAAATTTCCTGCGAAGTGGCCCCTCCCTGGCTTGGCAGAGAGGACAAGGGAGGACCCTCTGCTCCCCGACTTGGGGGTCTCCCCCCCCCAGGCATGATCTGAGCAGGGACCCCCATGCCCCCTCCCTGCCCCCCTGGGACCCCCTTCTCCCCATTGCACCCTCAGGGGGAGGAGAGAGGAGACTCACCCGAGTCCAGGAGGGGCTTTTGCAAAGGAGAGAGAAGAAGAAGGCAGGGAGGGAGGGGGAGGGGGGATTTAGCCCTGGAGGACCTTCACCCCCCTCCACTTCCCGTCCTCTCTAGGAATCCAGCTCTGCTCCTCTTAACCCTCGCAAGCCCAGCCCTCCCTCTCCCCGCGCCTGCGCTTAGGGGCTCCCTCCGCCCCCCCTCTCAGTCCGCCCCCCACACCCAGGGGGTCCCCAAAGCCCTCCTTATTGGGGTCTCCTTCCCTCCCCCTCAGTCCGCCCCCACACCCTGGGGGTCCCTCAGCCCTCCTTCTTGGGGTCTCCTTCCCTCCCCTCAGTCCGCCCCCCACCCCCAGGGGGTCCCCTCAGCCCTCCTTCTTGGGGTTTTCCGTTCCCTCCCCCCCACTCAGTCCGCCCCCACACCCAGGGGTCCCCTCAGCCCTCCTTCTTGGGGTCTCCTTCCCTCCCCCTCAGTCCGCCCCCACACCCAGGGGTCCCTCAGCCCTCCTTCTTGGGGTCTCCCTTCCCTCCCCCCCCTCAGTCCGCCCCCCACACCCAGGGGTCCCCTCAGCCCTCCTTCTTGGGGTCTCCCTCCCTCCCCCCTCTCAGTCCGCCCCCCACACCCAGGGGTCCCCTCAGCCCTCCTTCTGGGGGTTTCCCTTCCCTCCCCCCCTCTCAGTCCGCCCCCACACCCAGGGGGTCCCCTCAGCCCTCCTTCTTGTGGGTCTCCCTCCGCTCCCCCCCGCTCAGTCCGCCCCCCACACCCAGGGGGTCCCCTCAGCCCTCCTTCTTGGGGGTCTCCCTTCCCTCCGCCCCCACACCCAGGGGTCGCCTCAGCCCTCCTTCTTGGGGTCTCCCTTCCCTCCCCCTCTCAGTCCGCCCCCACCCCCAGGGGGTCGCCCCAGCCCTCCTTCTTGGGGGTCTCCCTTCCCTCTCCCCTCTCAGTCCGCCCCCACACCCAGGGGTCCCCTCAGCCCTCCTTCTTGGGGTCTCCCTTCCCTCCCCCTCAGTCCACCCCCACACCCAGGGGTCCCCTCAGCCCTCCTTCTTGGGGGTCTCCTTCCTCTCCCCTCTCAGTCCGCCCCCACACCCAGGGGTCCCCTCAGCCCTCCTTCTTGGGGGTCTCCTTCCCTCCCCCTCTCAGTCCGCCCACCACACCCAGGGGGTCCCCTCAGCCCTCCTTCTTGGGGGGTCTCCCCCCTCTCAGTACGCCCCCCACACCCAGGGGGTCCCCTCAGCCCTCCTTCTTGGGGGTCTCCCTTCCCTCCACCCCTCATTCCGCCACCAGTCCCAGGGGGGTCCCATCAGAACTCATTCTGTGGGGTCTCCCTCCGCCCCCCTCAGTCCGCCCCCACACCCAGGGGTCCCCTCAGCCCTCCTTCTTGGGGGTCTCCCTTCCCTCCCCCCTCAGTCCGCCCCCCACACCCAGGGGGTCCCCTCAGCCCTCCTTCTTGGGGTCTCCCTCCGCCCCCTCAGTCCGCCCCCACACCCAGGGGTCCCCTCAGCCCTCCTTCTTGGGGGTCTCCCTTCCCTCCCCCCTCACTCCGCCCCCACACCCAGGGGTCCCCTCAGCCCTCCTTCTTGGGGTCTCCCTCCGCTCCCCCTCAGTCCGCCCCCACACCCAGGGGTCCCCTCAGCCCTCCTTCTTGGGGGTCTCCCTTCCCTCCCCCCCCCCCACCCAGGGGGTCCCCTCAGCCCTCCTTCGTGGGGTCTCCCGTCCCACCCCCTCAGTCCGCCCCCACACCCAGGGGTCCCCTCAGCCCTCCTTCTTGGGGTCTCCTTCCCTCCCCCCTCAGTCCGCCCCCACACCCAGGGGTCCCTCAGCCCTCCTTCTTGGGGTCTCCCTTCCCTCCCCCTCAGTCCGCCCCCACACCCAGGGGGTCCCCTCAGCCCTCCTTCTTGGGGTCTCCCTCCGCTCCCCCTCAGTCCGCCCCCACACCCAGGGGGTCCCCTCAGCCTCTCCTTCTTGGGGGTCTCCCTCCGCTCCCCCTCAGTCCGCCCCCACACCCAGGGGTCCCCTCAGCCCTCCTTCTTGGGGTCTCCTCCCTCTCCCTCCGCCCCCACACCCAGGGGGTCCCCTCAGCCCTCCTTCTTGGGGTCTCCCTTCCCTCCCCCTCAGTCCGCCCCCACACCCAGGGGGTCCCCTCAGCCCTCCTTCTTGGGGTCTCCTTCCCTCCCCCCTCAGTCCGCCCCCACACCCAGGGGTCCCCTCAGCCCTCCTTCTTGGGGGTCTCCTTCCCTCCCCCTCAGTCCGCCCCCACACCCAGGGGGTCCCCTCAGCCCCTCCTTCTTGGGGTCTCCCTCCGCTCCCCCTCAGTCCGCCCCCACACCCAGGGGTCCCCTCAGCCCTCCTTCTTGGGGGTCTCCCTTCGCGCCCCCCACTCAGTCCGCCCCCCACACCCTGGGGTCCCCTCAGCCCTCCTTCTTGGGGGTCTCCCTCCGCCCCCCCCTCAGTCCGCCCCCCACACCCAGGGGGTCCCCTCAGCCCTCCTTCTTGGGGGTCTCCCTCCGCCCCCCCTCAGTCCGCCCCCCACACCCAGGGGGTCCCCTCAGCCCTCCTTCTTGGGGGTCTCCCTCCGCTCCCCTCTCAGTCCGCCCCCCACACCCAGGGGTCCCCTCAGCCCTCCTTCATTGGGGTCTCCCTTCCCTCCGCCCCCCACACCCAGGGGTCCCTCAGCCCTCCTTCTTGGGGTCTCCTTCCCTCCCCTCTCAGTCCGCCCCCACACCCAGGGGTCCCCTCAGCCCTCCTTCTTGGGGTCTCCTTCCCTCCCCCTCAGTCCGCCCCCACACCCAGGGGTCCCCTCAGCCCTCCTTCTTGGGGTCTCCCTCCCTCCCCCTCAGTCCGCCCCCACACCCAGGGGTCCCCTCAGCCCTCCTTCTTGGGGTCTCCCTCCGCTCCCCCTCAGTCCGCCCCCACACCCAGGGGTCCCCTCAGCCCTCCTTCTTGGGGGTCTCCCTCCGCCCCCCCTCAGTCCGCCCCCACACCCAGGGGTCCCCTCAGCCCTCCTTCTTGGGGTCTCCCTCCGCTCCCCCTCAGTCCGCCCCCACACCCAGGGGTCCCCTCAGCCCTCCTTCTTGGGGGTCTCCCTTCCCTCCCCCCGCAGTCCGCCCCCCACACCCACGGGGTCCCCTCAGCCCTCCTTCTTGGGGTCTCCCTTCCCTCCCCCTCAGTCCGCCCCCACACCCAGGGGGTCCCCTCAGCCCTCCATCTTGGGGGTCTCCTTCCCTCCCCCTCTCAGTCCGCCCCCACACCCAGGGGTCCCCTCAGCCCTCCTTCTTGGGGTCTCCCTTCCCTCCCCCTCTCAGTCCGCCCCCACACCCAGGGGTCCCCTCAGCCCTCCTTCTTGGGGTCTCCCTTCCCTCCCCCTCAGTCCGCCCCACACCCAGGGGTCCCTCAGCCCTCCTTCTTGGGGTCTCCCTCCGCCCCCCTCAGTCCGCCCCCACACCCAGGGGTCCCCTCAGCCCTCCTTCTTGGGGGTCTCCCTTCCCTCCCCCTCTCAGTCCGCCCCCACACCCAGGGGTCCCCTCAGCCCTCCTTCTTGGGGTCTCCATCCCTCCCCCTCAGTCCGCCCCCACACCCAGGGGTCCCCTCAGCCCTCCTTCTTGGGGTCTCCCTCCGCTCCCCCTCAGTCCGCCCCCACACCCAGGGGGTCCCCTCAGCCCTCCTTCTTGGGGGTCTCCCTCCGCCCCCCTCTCAGTCCGCCCCCCACTACCCAGGGGTCCCCTCAGCCCTCCTTCTTGGGGTCTCCTTCCCTCCCCCCTCAGTCCGCCCCCACACCCAGGGGTCCCCTCAGCCCTCCTTCTTGGGGGTCTCCTTCCCTCCCCTCTCAGTCCGCCCCCTCTGCCAGGTGGTCCCCTCAGCCCTCCTTCTTGGGGGTCTCCCTCCGCCCCCCCTCTCAGTCCACCCCCCACACCCAGGGGGTCCCCTCAGCCCTCCTTCTTGGGGGTCTCCCTTCCCTCCCCCCAGCTTCTCCCCTTGAACTCCCGCCTGACTCCTCTTCCTCTCCTCCCCACCTTCCCCTCCAAGCTCCCCCCTCAGAAAAGGCGCCTTGCCTTTTCCCGCCCAAAGGGCTGACTCCGCCCCCCACTGGCTTGGCAGCCAATGAGAGCGAGGTTCCAGCCCCTGGGGGAATTTCTGAGGGACTAAGTCCGCTGACTGGCCTGGCTCTGCTGTCCATCACAGGCCCAACCAAGGGGGGCATCCGGCAGCTGCCATCTATCTAGAGATCATCTACGTCTCTCAATTATCCATCTATCTATTTTAAACTCTTAGGGTTTGAAAATCATTTGAACATAACTTGCTGGGTGTCAGAGCCCGCAGAGGCCTAATGTTTCAACAGTACTAATAAATGGATGGCGGAAAAGTCTGGGAAGGGCGAGCCCCTCTCTGCCCCCTCAAGGCTCCTCTCAGGCTCATCCAGGGTCAAAGGCCTCCTCCATTTTTGGAGGGCCAGGAAGTGAGTGGCCCCTGCAGCTCGCCTGCTGGAAGGGGCGACATGCAGAGGCCAGCCTGGCAGGGTTGTTGTGGAAGGAGGAGCTCCTGGGAGGAAAGGAGGTGCGAGGGACATGCCATTCTAGAATTATTATGTGTGTGTTATTATTATTATTGCAAGAGGCGGGGAGTTCCAAAGGGCAGGTGCTGCCACACTAAGCCACGCAGTGCTGGAAAGGGGGTGAAAGGCAAGCGGCCAGCCTGGCAGGGTTGTTGTGTTAGGAGGAGCTCCTGGGAGGAAAGGAGGCGCGAGGGAAATGCCATTCTAGAATTATTATTATTATTATTATTATTATTATTATTATTATTATATATATTATTGCAAGAGGCGGGGAGTTCCAAAGGGCAGGTGCTGCCACACTAAGCCACGCAGTGCTGGAAAGGGGGTGAAAGGCAAGCGGCCAGCCTGGCAGGGTTGTGGAAGGAGGACGTGCCCAAGGATTAAGGCTTTCTGGGAAATGATATATAATGAACTGAAAAAGGTATTTAAATATACCTTCTTGAAAAAACCAGAGGCCTTTCTCCTGGGCATAGTCGACCAATCAGTGTTAAAGAAGGACAGAACTTTCTTTATGTATGCTACAACAGCAGCAGGAATACTTATTGCAAAGCATTGGAAGACACAAGATCTACCCACC